TTTAACTGTTGGCGAAGAAGTGTTCTTTCTTTGTCTTAATCGGCGTCCCTTCTACAAAGTTGAACTTGGCACCAACCACTCCTCGGGACCTTCGACGGTGAGACATGTCCTTTGTAGAGGGATCAGCTTCATAGCCATCAAAGACAGATATTGCATCAGCATACCTCCTTTGCACATAGGAGACATAAAGTTGGCAAATGGAAAAAAATGTATTAACTCGTAACCATGGCAACCTTCGGAGTAATGAGCCACCATCAAGTACATAGCACATGTCAGTTTCTTCCTGAGTAGGCATGCTTACACATTGTGCATTGTTCAAAGTGCATCAGCAAGTGATGTCTTGTTGGCCTAAGTAATAACCTAGAACTCGAATAGCTCAGTTTTATATTATGCCCTCTTATGCTATTAGTACATCTAGAAAACAGCCACGGCAGTAACCATCGGACTACAGCCACAGTCAATAATTGCGACCAGGTGATGGCGACTAACTCCACACAGGAACAAGACCCTCGAGCTGCATTGTCTGTAGATGACTTCGATACGCAGGTCAAGGACCTGAACATTTTCCTGTACACGGGTGACGAGAAGTTCGAGGGCCCGCTATTACTGACAAGCAGATGTTCGAAGGTTCTGCTAAGAAGTTCCGTTCCTCTAGAAATGGCAGAAGACGAGCAAACACTCCAAGCGACGCCCCAAGCTGCAGTCTCCGAAATGGCAGTCGTTAGGAGGAAGAAAATTTTCCAACATAATGTTATACACAGTCCTTTACAAGATGTAAAGAGCTGTCTAACATATACTATGAATTAGACCCAGACATTATTCTGTTAAACAGTACTGGCGTAAAGGACAAAAGTAAGCTGAAAATTTTTGACTTCACTGTATACCAGAGGAACATGACGGGTGAGTTGAACAATGGTGTCGTTGTGGCCATCAGGTCACGGCTGATTCACAGAGCGTTGCTAGACTTCGAGGATTCAGTTCTAGGAGTGCAAGTGGAGACAAACATGGGACCTGTTATCATATGCGCAATGTAACAACCTCCCAGACGTCCTTATTTACCCGAACAAGACCTCAACCAGCTTCTGGGCCACAGAAATCCAAAACACATCCTAGGGGACATAAATGCGTGCCACGCCATACTCGGACACGGTAATGAGAGCAACGTCGGTGTGGCACTGTATGACAACATCAGAAGGGGAAAACTGCAACACCTCTGCTCAGATTTCACCGACATTGAACAGACGTGCCAGTGCCACAAAACCTGACAAAGTCCTCTCTTGCAAAGAGTCTAGCCGGACCCATCAGTACCAGATATCACCTGCCAGTCGTCGTGACGCTCTTATACAATCCCATTATGATCCCCGCCAACATCAGGTCAAACCTCAAACGGGGAGACTGGGACTCCTTCAAGGAGTCTCTCATTCTCAAGCAAGGGAGGAACCTGGAAGAAGCCAGCCCCAATGACATCGACGACGCGGTCGAACAATGGTACACGGATGTGAAGACGGAGATGGACAACAACATCCCAACCACCACTCACAGGACCATTCCCCATCCTAACACTAGTCACCAGCTGAGGCAGCTTAGTGTCCAGTTCGATCATGTGAGACAGCTAGCCACTATCCGCGGGTGGACGCAAGAGCTGAGAGACCGGTACCGAGAGCTACAGACAGACATCCAGCACGAGAGCAAACGTCTACATGAGCAAAAGTGGGCCGCCTTGGTGTGGGAGGCAGCCAACAATTACCGCGATTTTGCTGCCTTCTGGAAAGGGATCAAGCGACTGATGGGTTCCACCTCTAGCACGGTCCCTTACCTGCTCGACCAAAACAACGTAAAAATATTCGAGGAGGAAAACCAAGAACAATTACATCGGCGATATTTGAGAAAGATCTTTACCATTAGTGAACAGGAGAACGAGGGCTTCAACAGGGAGCTTGAGGAGGACATTTTAGGTCAGTTGCAGGACCATCAGTACCTGCTCCAGCCGCTCCCACGGATTGACTTCACTAGACTGGTGGACGACAGCTACCTGACGGAGGGCATAGTTCCTGTGTCAGCTGTCATAAAATTGTATAAAAACAAATCACCTGGGCAAAGCCATATTAACAAGAAGATCTTCGTCCAACTCCCTGACAACATGATAGAGAGGCTTGCTCATTTATGCAATGCCTGCCTAGCCTCTGGATACTTCCCTAAGATGTTAAAAATCGCCGTTATCCGCCTCATACCAAAAGCAGGGAAGCCTCCAAACAAAGTCAAAAACTTTTGACCAATAGCGCTGCTAGAGGTACCAGCCAAAATCCTCGAAAAAATAGTAAACAAGTGGTTGCGGATGTATTTGGAGGACGAAGACGTCAGTACCGAGGCACATCCACCGCCATAGCCCATGCCTTCAGGCAGATCGCCAACGCCATGACTGTCCGCCTGAAGTGCAACGTAGTGCTGAGGGATGAAAGCAATGCGTTTGACTAAGTTGCACGCGGGGCTGCAGTATACGAGCATACAAATGGGGTTAACCGGAAACCTGACGCGCCTGCTGTGCAACTTCATTCCGGACCGCAGAGCCAAAATCAAGATGCAAGAACATTGTGGAGAAGAATTCTCACTCATGAGCGGCATGCCTCAGAGCTCTTGTCTCTCACCAACCCTTTACACGCTCTACACGCTCTACACGGCTGACCTGTCACCCCCAATCGTCGACAGCGAGTACCTCATGTATGCCGACGATTTAACACAGATTGTTACCTGCCCAGGAAGGTCCACTGCTCGGGCAATAGAGGGTATCTCGGAGTATTAAAATAAATGGAAAATAAAAACAAACAAGACGAAATTTGAATTCATACCCATAGCCATATTCAAGCCGGCGCCATTGATGATCGACGACGAAGAGATTGAGTATTCTAAACAAGGCAATGTTGTTCGGCCCCCATCATCTCTCGGACGGGCATCATTTCTCACGTGAAGGACAGACTAAAGAAAACCAAAGTTGCAGTCGCCAAATTAAAACGTTTTAAACTGATGCCTGAGTAGATACAAGTCCACCTGTAAATGCGCTGGTGAGGCCTCTGTTGGAGTACCCGCACGTATCACTCGTCACACTCGGGAATACCAGACAGTGCTTCCAAAACAAGTGGTTGAGGTCAGCCAGTGGCCAAGCGCCGCCCTACCAGGAAACAGTGGAAACCATCCACCTGAGATATAAAACAGAGGCCCTCAACTTCAGGTTCCATCGCCTAGGGAAGAACGTTTGGGTACAAGCTTCTGGACGACCCTCCCAGCCCAGACCACCTACGCGGGGAAGACATGAACAGAGTGCGACCCCACTCCTGTTGGCCCCGGAGTCTGCCCTGATTACAACAACCCAAACCATGACCCGTCTAAGAACAACAGAACGATCCACCTTAGATTAAAACTTAGATGATATAAGTTCACATTTAACATGTCACAATCTATTGAGTCCATAACGTAATATATTAATAAGATTTTAATAAACATTTAATTTTAAAATCAAACTAGTCATTGTCAACCAAAGTTACCATTGAGGTTAGCTTAGTTAGCCAACAAACTCTCTAACTTGTAAAACAAGAGTGTCTTCCCCCTCTCTTTAACACATTAAACTTCTTTTTCAACCTTTTCCCCCAACGACTATCTGTTGTGACTTCTCTAAGATTCATGTCCGGCTGTGCCTTGAGCCCCAGCATGACTTCCATCCTTTCCCCACCATAACCCCCCAAAAATAGAAAACAAAAATGGCCACAGTGACATCGTCTCACTGCTCACCCGTCATGTTTCTTTGGTATACAGTGTAGCCAAAAATTTTCAGTTTGCTCTCGTCCTTTAGCCAGTACTGTTTAACAGAATAGTGTCTGGGTTTAATTGATAGTATAGGTTAGACAATTGGTTACGTGTATTAAGGGACCTTGTGTGGGACATTATATTGGACAATTTTCATCCCGCTAATACTGCCGTTTCGGTGACTGAAGCTTGGGGCGTTGCTTGATGTATTTGCTCAGCTTCTGCCTTTTCTAGGGGGCCGGAACTCACAGTATTAGCAAAACCTTCGAACATCCGCTTGTCAGCTTATAATGGGCCCTCGAACTTCCCGTCACCCGTGTACAGGAAGTTCAGGTCATGGGCCTGCATGTCGAACTCATCTACTGACGCTGCAGCTCGAGGGTCTTGTCCCTGTGTGGAGTAAGTCGACATCATCTAGTTGCATCCATTGACTGTAGTTGCACCCAGATGGCTGCTGTTGTTGCTGGGAGTATACGTCTTAAGCTCACGGAGATTTACGGTGTCGCTGGAGGAGATGTGATCCCGAGGGGACTGACTGGCCACGTCGAGGCTTCGGTTATACTGACTTTGGCCTAAGTCAGGGAGTTCATGGTCCATTTCTGGCGTGGGTTTAGGTCGTGAAGTTACTGCCCTCAAGATTTATTTTGAAGGGACTTCGTCGCTTATTTCAAAAGGTTCAATATTGTTCCTGGTTAGTGTTTCGTTGAGGTGTTTCGAGATTGAACTTGATGAACCATGTTCATATAATGGGCATGCAGGTAAAACAAGTATATAGCGGCAGCGACTCCAACACATCCACCCTCTCTAATGGATGGGTACGCTCTGTTGGCTGATGTTAGGATGGAGTAGGTTCAAAGGGGCCGCCTATTTCACTTCATTAACTGAGTACCTTATAACAACCTTACCGATCCACCTGATATTTATAACCACTTTGGATATTATTTACTTTTTGTGACTTATAATTGTTATGATATTATTGTGTTATTTGAAAGGGTAAAGTTCTCACCAATATCATTTTGCTGTATAACCTTAAAGGTCGTCTGTGTTGTACCCCAAGACTAAACAAGACCAAATCATCATTCTACCCTACACTATTAGTTATCAGTTTGTGCAAAATGTCACTTTAACACAAGAATGAACTACTCGTTGTGTATTTGCCTGTTGGTGTGATGGCCGTTTAATTTAAACCTTTTCTCCTTCAGGATTATGCTGTGGATCTGTACTTAAGACAAGCGTGGGTAGACGAGCGCCTCAACCACGCAAACATCACCCAGCCGCTTGATCTTAATGACCCTAACCTAGTGAAGGCCATATGGAAGCCTGAGGTCTACTTCCCCAACGCAAAAGATGCTGAGTTTCAGTTCGTAACTGTTCCCAACGTTCTAGTGAGGATCAACCCAATGGGAGAGATCCTGTATATGCTCAGGTACGTGTGTGTGTGTGTGTGTGTGATATGCTTATAGACCTCCAACAAACCCCCAACGGCGGTATAGGCGGAAAAGATGATTATCGTGGAACCCAACGACTACACCGGCGGACGAAGGCAGTGCCTGATGGACAGGCTACTAAGGCGAAACTCAACAAACTGGGCTATCGGCAGTCCATTGCAACTCCCCCTCTCCCCAGTCGTTGCAATACTTGTTACACTGGATTAGGAAAAGAGAGAGCCAAGATGTATGGTTGCAGCCTGCACTCCTGCTTCACCACATAAATCAACTCACGCGCAGCCATCATTCAGTTCATCATCATCAAAACCCCTATACCCCCAAAAGTCCAATGGCGACGGACGGGTGCCGACGGGTACAGGCAGAAATGACTGCCGGGAGTCTCTAGTCACAACTCAGCACATGGGCGGCACAGATAATATGGTCGTTTATGCACTGGGATCTAGGCAGCAGTGCAATCCGGTCCTGTCTGTGCAAATGAGCAGCCCCTTCAAGGAGCCACTCTCCTCACCCCACATGGGGAGGAAGCGAGAAAAGGTGCCCCAAAAATAGCCTGCCTAAAAACCCAACCTATCTGGGCAACCGCAACAAGTAAGGTCATCCTTATGCTATCGAAAACACAGTGATAATCACAAATCCCAATAAAAACAAACCATACAACCTCTAATGGTCACTATATGGAATGTCAGGACCCTTCTGGATACTGGCACAAATGGGCGTCCTGAAAGAAAAACTGCCTTTGTGGCAAAAGAGCTGCCATCAGGAAGTCCCGGCTTTCAGATGAAGGCCAGCACACAGAAAGGAGGTCTGGCTACACCTTCTTCTGGAAAGGTAAGACTGCTGAGGAGAGAAACCGCATTTATGGAGTTGGCCTTGCCATCCGCCAACGCATCCTACACAGGCTAACTGAAATGCCTATTGGGATCAATCAGCGCCTCATGACGCTACGAGTCCCACTGAATCACTCACGTCATGCGTTTTTCATCAGTGCATACGCCCCAACACTGGATGCAGAGGATGACATCAAGGAGGCGTCTTATGCCGACCTTGACAGAGTGCTAACCTCTATCCCCAGGGAAGACAAGGTTGTGCTCCTTGGCGACTTCAATGCCAGAGTTGGCAGGGAACCATAGGGAGAAATGGACTCGGAAAGTCTAATGCCAACGGCCTACCCCTCCTTAGCAAGTGTGCTGTGCACAGCCTCATTATCACCAATACCTTGTTTTGAAGGCCGCCAAGTTCAAGGGTTCGTGATAACACCCATGATCCAAACAATGGCATCTCATTGACTTCATCATTATAAGAGAAAGAGATCGCCGAGATGTCCTCATCACCCATGCCATGCGTGACTCAGACCACTGTGACACTGAGCATCGACTTGTCAGAGCCAAGCTCTCACTTCACGTAGCCCCAAAACGGCGAAGGCAGCAAGCCTAGATACAAGTAATAAAAGCTCCAACAACATTCCCTGAATACAAATTCGCAACTTTTCGATTCACAACAGGTACCTACTTACTACTAGATGAACAGGGACCAAGGGGGCTAGGAAGAGTGTCCAAACAACTTTCCACAGGCCCGGGAATCTAACCCGTGACATCTTGCTTGCAAGGCAAGAGCACTACCATTCATTGCTCAACATTAAGAGCTGACCCGCCTCAGGTATCCTCCATCCCTGGATGAGATAGTTACTGCCTTCAAACAGATGAAAAATAACAAAGCCTCAGGATCTGATGGAATCCCAGCCGAAGTGTATAAGGCAGGAGGACCTCTGCTTACCAACCGTCTCCACTCTCTCTTGGAGAATATATGGGAAAAGGAGGAAATCCCCCAACCTCTTAAAGACGCTTCCATTGTCAATATTTATAAGAACAAGGGAGACCGGTCACACTGTAGCAACTACCGTGGGATCTCGCTGCTCTCTGTAGCTGGCAAGATTATCGCCCGATTCCTCCGAAACAGACTCCATCCTGAGGCGGAAAACTTCCTCCCTGATCCTTGAAGCCCGCCAGATACAGGAAAAGTGCAGAGAACAGCGTTGTGACCTATACATGGGTTTCATTGACCTGACCAAGGCTTTCGACTCGGTCAACAGGGAAGCCCTCTGGTGGACCCTGTTTTGGCTGCCAACCAAAGTTCATCGCCATTATGAGGCGACATCACGATGGTATGAATGGCAGTGTCCTGCACAACGGTACCCAGTCTGAGCACCGGGTGAAGGGAGGTCTTTTCAACATAAGACGACTCCCGGCAAGAACAAAGGTGTCGGCAGATTCCATAACTGAAGTTCAGTATGCAGACGACCTCACCCTTGTTGCTCACACTGAACAAGACGTACAGGAGATCCTAAACACCTACGCATATGCGCATGCGCAATTCGGCCTTGAGGTGAATGTACGTAAAACTCAGATTCTCTTTCAACCTGCCCAGGTTCAGACACACCTCCACCATCCATCCAGCTTATCGGTATTACCCTCTCTAGTG